TGATTGCAGAGCAGACACCTTCTCTCTTTGTTTGACTTGTTCTCTTTAGTAGACAAGTCATTGGTTATCTCTGAAGGAGACACCGAATATGTACCTACATTTCCACTTCTTTTCCCAGTGGATGGAGTAGTTCTTGATGTAAATTTATTAGACTTATTTAAAGTCTGTTTAGGTTTGACTGAAGTGTCAACTTGAGTTGAGTTACGTTGAGAGTTGGTAGAGGAGTTTGAAACTTTCTCCCCGTCTTGATTGGCTCTTTGTCTTTCGACTAAGGTATGTAGACCTTCTGTGATTTCTTTCAGAGTCAAAAAGGTCGTATTGTATATAGTACACAACTTATCTAAAGTTTCTCTTGGCAATTTTCGCTTTACAACTACTTTAGTCATCCATTCGGCTGACTGGATTTGGACCTTAAGGCTTAAGGCCTTGAGTAAAGACTCTAGGTCTAGTCTGAAATTTTGGAGAGACTCTGCGGAATTATTAGCAGAGGGTAAATCTAGCAATTTTTGAACTAAGACAGTAACAGTTCTCTCCGTGTTATCGTAGTTGGTTTTGAGCAATTGAACAGCTGATGTGTAACCATCACTGGTCAGTGTTATATTGGAGATTACTTTCAAGGCTTCATTTCTTAACAGGCCTTGTAGATAAGTGAATTTGGTGGTTTGAGGAATGTTAGTTTTAGAGTCTACTGCATCTACGAATTTACTCCAGAAATCATCCCAACTTTCGTTCTCATCACCAGAGAATGTGGGTATATTGATTTGAGGTAATTTAACCTCAGGATCTGTACGTACAGTAGAAGATACTGTCAGCTTGTTTTTAGCAATTTGCTTCTTAAAGGGTAAAAGCTTAACTCGGATATCTTCTTCATACTGAGCTAACTCATCTATAACCTCATCAAGTTCACTACTTTCTACAGAAGTTGATTGAAGTTCTGTCAAATACAAATTCATGTGTTGCTTAATATGAGCAAATTTACTTTCAGCAACTTGTAATAAATCTTCTAACTCAAAGTAATCAACAGTTGACTGTTGTGACAGATTTTGGCATTTATTAATCTGTCGGGTCAAATGACCTTTCAGACCGATAAGGGTCCTTTTCATTTTGGTAGCCGTGTCCATCTTCTTGGTTAAAGGCTGATTGGTCAGTAAGTATTTATTACTGAGATAACTGGGATATTGACTCATTCAGTGGAGTTCAATATCAATGAGAATAGCCTAATATACTCGAATAGACTATGGTTCTACCTACCTAACACGAAATAGCTAGATATTTTGTGCACTGTCTGAACTTCACCATTAGTTCTCGTCCGGTTAGCTCATCTATATCATCATCAGAGTTAATGGAGATTATCCAGCAATACACAAAATAGATACACAAAATAATGCATACAAGAGAAATATTATGGAGACACTCCAACCAGAGTTATCTCAAAATTTAATCCCACCCTGTATAGGGTCAGCACAAATAATATAATACATACACTACTGACTAGTTTAAATCTAGTCGTGAGAAATCCTAAGAACTATAAATTTATTTAGTCTGGGCTTGTGCCAAATTCAGCACAATCTCGGCCTAAATTCTACCTAATAACATTGGTAAAGATTATTGTGGTGCAGTAAGGTGAATATAATTGTGCTGTATTTTTGTTTTTTTTGTTTTATAAGAGTGCACTTGTACACACAGGTGAAAACATATAAAGGTTATGAGCTGATGCTCCTGGTGACCTAAAGATTCATACTTCTGTATGAGGTATAGGTCTAAGTGTTGTGGGTAATTGGCTATGACCCACTAAAGCTACCTTGTACATGAGGTGAAAGTAGCAATATGTTAGTGTGATCTAGGCTAACTGATGTGTTACACTGTTAGTTGACACAATTAATTAAATAGTTAGTCTAGCTTCTATCACACAAGGATTAGTTATTAATGATTAATATTTTAATTATAAATTTAATGCCTATCCGGTTCGATAAGGACCATAATGTGGGACATTTGGGGCTTGAATCTGATTATTTAAATATTAATGTAAAAAGTAAATTAAATTACGAAGGACCACCCGCTTTTATGGTAAAGAGGGAAACTGAGAATTTCTGATCATTAAATAATTCCTAGATGAACCAGTAACTATGGATAAAATACTAGAGAATATGATCATAGAAATAATTAATGGGCTGTATAATTAAATGAATCAAACCCTCAAACACCTACATTGGGGGGTTATTACTGGAAGTCAGTACGTCCAGGAACTAGTGTGGTTCGTTCACTAATCCAAATTATAATAATCTAATCCTATGAATTATAGTGAAACTAATGTCATTACCATGAATGGGAACATAGATTATAAGTATAGTAATGATAGTCACAATAAACACATGTTAATCCAAAGGAATTCTGCATGTAAGTAATTTCAGAAATTTCATGAATAAATACAAAGAAATCTTAGCTTAAAGACGATTCCTTTATGTAAGCCACGACGTTTCCTCTAATTCCCTGGGCTCCGCTGGCTGACGAATGGGATGGATTAACATGGGAGAAGACGGCAGGGAGAATTCTTCTCACATGCTGCAAGACAAATATTTACAGTAGCAACTAATTAAACTACTGAGTCTCTATATTCAAGAAATTAAGAGTTACAGGTGATAATAATTAATAACCTGTGGTTTGGTGTTAACATGCGTCGTCACGGTCAATCACCCAGCTACTACACTACACTTTACCGGATGCATCAAATAAAGAGAAGATACTTAGCTAATATGGGCACTGTATAAGTTTTAAGATTGCCGGTTCCTTATGTTACACCAGCACCAGTTGAAGATATTATCTGCAAGGTTGTTCACGCCTCACAGTGGCGACTTTCATCTGAGGATGGCTAACGTCTACCCTGATGGCTGGGCAATGGCGTCTCCTCGTGAGCACGATACGGGTAGGTCTGCCTCAGAGCTTCCCTCCACGTGTACCGGCGTGCCTCCCTCACCCACGCCGCGTCTCGCGTTTATTAGACAAATTATTGTCATGAATATTAGTATTTCTCGCATTTGTGCTTGAAATGTTGGAGACTGGACGGGTTTATTATTTAGAAGAGGGAAATATTATTATTTGCCAATTTAGTGATAGTAAACATATAAGGGAGAGGAATTAATGTATCTCCATGGCATTCACTTGTGACGTTAAGTTTTATTACTAGATAATCGCTATGACTAACGCTCTATTCGGCTTTTAGTTGGAGGTCAATTTATCTGCAATTAATTACCACACAGAATGCCTTGGTTATAGAGAATCGAATTTAATTCTCAGATACATTGGATATAATGTGTTTATTTTAAGGAAATCTGACGCAATACTGGCGTCGGATGACGTGAGAATTCTAGCCTACTGCACAGATGAAATTATTAGTACATGAGAATTCTACGTGGTGTTAATTTTACTTACTACAATAATTAGTAGAGTTAGTAATAAGTAATGAGAATACAACAGTGTTGGATTCGGTGTTGGAAATTTCCAACAGGTGGTATGGACCCCATACCTAACCTACAGGTGGTAGTGGATGCCATACCCAACCTACAGGTAGTAGTGTACCCCATACCCATCTTGTGGGTGGTAGTGGACCCCATACCTAACCTACAGGTGGTAATGAACCTCATAACCAACCTACAGGTAGTAGTGGACCCCATACCCATCTTGTGGGTGGTAGTGGACCCCATACCTAACCTACAGGTGGTAATGAACCTCATAACCAACCTACAGGTGATTGTGGACCCCATACCCATCCTGTTGGTGGTATGGACCCCATACCCAACCTACAGGTGGTAGTGGACACCATATCGAACCTACAGGTGGTGTGGGGAATTGACTTGTGATTTATATTTATTTAGTATATATTAATTTATATAGTAATTTATATTGTACGTTAATTTATATTTTCGATTGCATACTATGATGTTTAAAATTAATTGTACGATTTAAAATTCTCACAAATCGCTTTTCTTAAATATTCTGAGGGGTTTATAGCTTATTTATGTAGTCAATCAAAATTATTGATTAGTAGACACTCACTACGGTACTGGACTACACATATTAGTAATTAAATGGGAAGGCCTGTCTTGAATGGCTGATTTTGCCCTAGGTAACCAGATATGAACATGGATGAACAAACTAGTCGATGCACTTTGTGTGTGAGGCTGACCTTCAACTCATGTACTGGAGTACTAGGTAACAAGTAATTCTTCTTCCTCTTCAATTACACTTCTCATAGGGCACTCACAAATAATAGCAGTAACCTAATATAACAGCTATATCGCATTAAATATAGTGTATTGATTGTTAGGTGAGGGCAATAATAATTACTATGGGTTTTGTCTCGCTTCGTGTCCTAACCAGCTTCACCCTGTGTATCTACTAACTTCTCTGGCCAGGAAAGCACTAGATAATAAACAAGTTTCGGTAAGACACTTCCCTAATACTAGACAATGATTGAGTGTTGATAATGGAAGCACTTTGCTCTTCATAACACTGTCCAAGGGAGAATTATTGGAGCTAAATTTGCCCCAGCGTGACTTCTTGTTAAAATTAATGGCGACTGACTCTGCAGGCCCTCTCCCACTGACCACATCCCTTGTTCTCCAGATGCGTCAAGAAGTAGTTAGATGTGCCACATTTACTCTACTTTGGTAATGATAATTAGGTTGATTCAAGGGAAATGTTTTTATGATGTTTACAGTCCAAAGCTTGCTGTATTAAGAATAATTCCCATTATTAAGTGGTGAAATTAATAACGCCATGTGGCAATGATATCTCGTTTTCTACGGGAAGAAATTTCCACTGTACTCTCGTTTTCTATGAGTTATTTGTTAATTACAAAACAGCAGCAATATTATCTGCTTATTGTATTAAATGTTAGTAAATGGTGTCGGTTTATTCCAACAGGTGGTAGTGGACCCCACACCCAACATACAGGTGTTAGTGGACCCCATACCCAACATATAGGTGGTAGTGGACCCCATACCTGTCCTATGGGTGGTAGTGGACCACATACCCAACATACAGGTACGTAGTGGACCCCATACCTGTCCTACGGGTGGTAGTGGAACCCCATACCCAACAAACAGGTGGTAGTGGACCCCATACCCAACATACAGGTGGTAGTGGACCCCATACCCAACATACAGGTGGTAATGGACCCCATACACATTGTGTGACTAGTTGTGACACCTATATCCATCCTGTGAACGGTAGTAGCCCCTATACCCATCCTTTGGATGATACTCCCATCCCATGGGCAGTAGTGGACCCCATACTCGTCCTGTGGGCGGTAGTGGACCCCATGCCTATGCTGTGGGCGGTAATGGACGCCAAGCCAATCCTGTGGGGCGGTAATGGAACCCATACCCATTCTGTGGGCGGTAGTGGTCCATACCCATCCTCTGGGCGGTAGTGATCATTATACCGATCCAGTTTGTGGTAGGGAGCCCCATACCCATTCAGTTTGTGGAAGGAATCCCCATACAAATCTAGTGGGTTGTAGTGAGCCCCATACCAATCCAGTCGGTGGTAGCGAACCCCATAACCATCCAGTGGATGACAATGGACCCAATACCCATCCTCTAGGTGGTAGAGGATCTAATACCCATCATAGTGGCAGTAGTAGACCCCATATCCATCCTCTAGGTGGTAGAGGACCTAATACCCATCATTTTGGCAGTAGTAGACCCCATATCCATCCTACTCGTGGAAATAGACCCTTCATACTCATCCTGTAGATAGTAGTGGACCACATATCTATCCTATAGGTAGAAGTGGACCGCCATACTCATCCTGTGGGTGGTAGTGGACCATATACCTCTCCTGTGGGCAGTAATGGACCCCATAACTATCCTGTGGGAATTAGTGGACACCATATCCATTCGACAGGTGGTAGTGGACCCAATACCCATCTTGCGGGCAGTAGTGAATCCCCATACCCACCCATTGGGCAATAATGGACCCCATACCCGCCCTGTGGGCATTAGTGGATCCCATACCCATTCAACAGGTGGTAGTGGACCCAATACCCATCGAACAGGTGGTAGGGGACCCTATAACTATATAAAACGTGGTAGTGGACCCCATATCCATCCAACAGGTGGTAATGGACCCCATACCTATCCTTTTGGGTGGTAGTGAACCCTATTCATCCTACGTAGAGTAGTGTACCCCATAGCCATACCAACGTAACATGGTTTTCTGTTAAACGTTCCTACTATCCATTCTCTTTAAATTTTTAAACTCACTCTATTGTATATAATATTATTTGGCGAAAGCACCATTATTATACGTAATAAATTATTGTACTTATTATAACTTACTGAGAACTACCAATATTTCTCAAAACAAAACTTCGCGCCTTCAACAGGATGAAGCCTATCCATGATATTCGAATAGCATGGAAAATAGTACTTAAATTTTACAATTTATTGGGACTGGGAAAATACAATTATCATTAAAATTGGAGCTTTCCGACTATTCTGCTGTCTACGGCGACTGGGCGGGTACTATGGGACATGCTATGGTACGTAAGGAAGGGTTAGTGCCTGGTGATATTTAATAACTGGAAATCTACCACAGAGGAACTATCAACATTAGCAGCATAAGAACTATAAGCTTTTAGCTACATCGGAACTATGCTATAGCGAGAAAGGGTTGAAACTAGGAGAACTTGGAGCATTTAGTAACATTTTAAATTTTGAATTAAATATTAAAAGGGAAAAAATATTAACAAAAAATTAAATTGCAAATATACAAAAAAAAAATCGCCATATATTAAGTCTAAATGGCAAAATATTAACATAAATGAAAGTTAGATGTTCTTGGTTTATTTGACAAAAATAAAATGATATGATCATGAAAATAGAAATGTATTAAATATGAGAAAAAATTAGCAGGTAAACGAGAGAAATAAAGAGAAAGTGTGCCTGAATAAGGAGTGGAATGTGGCTGTTTTAACAGAATTAACCCTTGCAACAATTGTAACTGCAGCAACACTTATAATGGGTGCCAGGGGTACACTCAATGCAACTTTTCTCCATATACAAGCAGCACACGAGAACTTAGTCCCACGGAATTCACCCGCAAAACAGGGAATGCCAGGTGTCAAAACTGCCACGTCAGCACGCAGCCAGACAGGCAACAACACTGAGAGGGCAGCAACGCCCTCACCACCTGGCGACCAAACGGCAAACAACCCCAGCAGTCACGGAGGCCGGGACACGTCCTCACTCCACGCTGCTCAGGGCGGACTCCACAAAGTAATTCACTCAATGCAACTGTAATTATAGTGTGAGCAAACAATAAGACTCCGATGTTTCAGTGCTTGGGAGCATGTAACAAAGTAATAACACTTTCCTCGAGAAGATGGTGATCTCACATCACTTGGGTTGTAGTCTTGAACAAACGAGAGTCGTTATATTGTGTATAACACTACGGGGTTTCACACCAAAATGTTGGTTTGATACTGAGATATGAAGTAGCACTACCTAAGGTTCAGCCCGTCCTCCCAAAACCCAGAAGTGATTCCATGCACACACCAAACCCCATGTTTATGAATGAAAAACGGTTTCACACGACTCACCAACCCGTCCTCGACTCAAGTCATTTACATCCAGCGGTCGACCTCAGAGAGACATCTATAAATTTTTACACGCTGTTCATTAAAAACGGGAATTTTCTCATATATAAATTAATATTATAATATATTAGCATATTGTGTATATATAGGCATAGGTTAGGAGTTTAGGTTTTGATGGCGATTATTTGTATTTGTAGTACATGGGTGAGGCATTTACGGCGTTGTGGTTCACTGACAAAAATCGTCAGTGAAGCATTTGTTCTGGAAGTGTTCGAACGTCAACAGTTGTGAGTCGTGTGTAAACCGTTTTTCATTCATAAACAGAGGGTTCGGCTGGTGTATGGAATCACTTTTGGATCTTTGGAGGACGGGCTGGACTCACAACTGATTTCGTTCGAACACTTCTGGAACAAGTGCTTCACTGACGAATTTTATTCAAACAGCAATGCTGTAAATGCTTCACCCACGTACTACAAATACCAGTAAGTAATTATCAAAAGAAGGTAACAAACCGGGAGGCCATGTAGCACCATCAAATGAGTGGAATAATCAGAGGACGCTAAAGGTTACCAAGGATGCCAATACAAGAACAGAACCGCATAAGGCAAACAATATCAAAAGTATACGATTCACCAAGATTTCTATCGAGGGACAAGCGACCGCGAGGGGCGGTCGGAAAGCAAGACACACGCTCGTCCTGGAAGTCAGAACATTCAACAAGGATATGCATGATCGTAAGAGGGACAAAGCAATTTGGACAATAAGGAACTTAGTGGCGCTCCATTGAGTGACCATGAGTTAAGAGTGCATTGCCAATACGTAACCTCGCCAGAGCCATTTCCCATCGCCGGTTACGGTGGTAGGAGGACGGCCATGAGGACACACACAACTCTTAAGAGCACGCAGTTTGTTACCAGTAACAGAAGACCAACAATCCTGCCAACAGGTAAGGATGGAGGAATAAATAACGGTAAAAGTCGGAATAAGGAATACCTTTACGGGAGATGGGACAAGAGCGGACAGCTTCCCTAGTGGCAGCGTTCGCACACTCATTGAAAGAGACACCAATATAGCTGGGAACCCAGCAAAACTCAATTGACTTAAATTTACTGAAAACAAGAAACAGTTAATGCTGGAGCTCGACAACTACTGGATGGACCGAATTAAAAGACCCGAGAGCCATGAGGGCAGTACGAGAGTGAACGACAACTACAAAGGAAGATTGACAACGAGAAAGCAGGAGACGAAGAGCATAGAGAATAGCATAAAGTCCTGCTGTAAAGATGTTATTCTCCCGGGGGTAGGCGACTCATATAAGCGCGGTCAAGAAAAACAACAGAGTAGCCAACACCATCCACAGACTTAGACCCATCGGTGAAGACAGAAACGGAGTGGGAGTGCGAAGAAAAGTGCTCAAGGAAAAGACGTTTCAGAATCGTAGGAGGGGTAAAAGCTTTAGTGATGCAGGTCAAGGATGTACAAAACTTCGTAAGGGGGACTCCACGGGGGCAAGAAAGGAACAATATGAGGAGAAATATTAGAAATACGAACTGAAAGAGAATCCTGTAAGCGAGATAACCGGACAGATAGAGGGAGGTGGTGAAGAGGAACAGGAGGCCCACGAGGGGTAAACGTTAACACATGACAGAGACGAGAGGAAGGATGTTGCAAGGACCTCGCAAGATAGCGAAGACAGTAGCGATCACGGCGGCCCTGGAGAGATAGGAAGCGAGTGTCAACATACAGGCTGAGGGCGGGAGTCGAACGAAAGTCACCAGAGCCGAGGCGCAACCGAGTATGGTGCAAAGCATCAAGATGGCGAAGAGTAGAAGGAGATGCACACGAGTAAGCAGGGTAACCATAATCGAGTTTAGACACGAGAGAGGAATGTAAAGTGAGGAGAGTGCGCCTATCTGCTTCCCAAGAAGTATGGGACAATACCCGAGGGTAAGGGACTTAGAACATTCAACTCGGAGGTAAGAGATATGGGGAGACCAAGACAAACGAGTGTCAAAGATTAACCCCAAAAGCTTACCTTAATCCTTGTACACAAGGAGGTGACCATTAAACGACAAAGAGGGACGAAGAACGACACATTTCCAAGTAAAAGTCATAGCACAGGTCTTAGACGTAGAGAACCTGAAGCCATGATCGGTGGTCGAAGACGACACGGCATCAATCGCAAGTTGAAGCCGCCGTTGAAGGAGCAAAGGGTAAGATCGTCGACAAAGAGAGTGGAGAAGACGCCAGAAGAAAGAGAGGAAAGAAGACCACTGAGGGCAACCAGAAAAAGAGTATTTCTCAGAACACTACCTTGGGGCACACCCTAGTATTACTGAAAAAAGGCAGAGAGAGTGGCACCAAGCCTTACTCGAAAAGAACGACGAGAGAGAAAGCTTTGAAGAAAGAGAGAAGCTATTATACAGACCCGATTATACAGACTCGGTACATACTGAGACGTGCATGGAGGGAGATGGCTAAGCATCTCATAATGAATGCCATCGGAGCCCGCTGCCGTAGAACCACAGAGGGCCAGGGCAGACTGAAGTTCAGAGAGAGAGAGAAGGGATCTTTATAAGGAAGATCGGGAAGAGAAAGCGGGACATTTGGTGGGAGGTAAATGGAACAAACCATGTACCATTTAAACACAAAGACACGTGCAGCAGAACATTGGAGAGGCAACGGAAAAAGTAGGGGGACGAAGGGAACATCAGAACGAATCAAGAGAGCAGAAGAGGAACGGGGCCCCAGAAAAAGCTGAGGGGAAGGGAAAAGAGAAAGGAATAGCCACGGAAGCGACCAGGACGAGCACCAATCATTGGCACGAATGGGCGAAAACTGTGAAATCAGAAGTTGGCGTTCATAGAAATTAGCGTAATATCCGCGAATATTCTATTGAAGGATAGACATCAACAAGAAGAGAAAGAACAGCAACAGAGGACAATGAAGAAAAAAAGGTGAAAAAGGAACACAGCACGTTAAAGATGCGCAGGATCAGGATCATGGTCAACGAAGTCAGGGTTAGGGAGGCATGGGTAAACTGAGTAAGGATGGAGGGAAGGGAGCGGGAGGACAGGCCAGAGGCAAATGAGCAGGGTCCGGAGGAGAGTGGGATAACCGAGGGTCAAGGACAGCAGCAGGAGGGGCAGAAACCTGGGAGTGCACCTCAGCAAGGTTAGCAACCGAGAGGGCAGTGGGGGCCAAAGAAACCTCCATAGCAGGAACAGGGGACGCAACCACCGAAACAGGAGGGGATGGATCGAGAGAGTCAGAGGTTGGGGGCGAGGAAGAAAGCGAAGCCTTCTTACCTGCCAGGGAGGAGGAAGGAGATGAGCCAGGTTTTCGCTTCGGACTTAAAGAGACAAGCGTCCCGGCAACAACGTACTGAGCAACAGATTCAAGCGTCTCAACAGAAGAAGAAAAACAAGAACAAATAACACGATGGCCGCTGAGAGAGTGATGGACATCAGCCGGCACTGACAGATGGTGGGGAGAGCTAAGAGCTGGAGGAGAAGAATGGGAAGGAGGATCGGAGGGAGACGAGGAAGAAGACACAGGAGACAAGACAGACTGGGTAGAAAGAAGGGGAACCCCAGACAGAGAACCATGAGGGGGGACCCTTCGGGACAAAACTTAAAGGAATAGAGGAGGCGGAGGTGGACGTGTCGAGGCCTAAGGCCTTGAAACGGTTGTTAGACTGAGGAAGGTGGGAAGGACGAGGAGAGGAAGAGTGCAACACGTGAGTATAAGAGACGCCAGCGAAAGGGGGAAGGCGGCGAACTTGGTGCCTCGCCTCAGGAAAAGAAAAACATTCCCGGTGTTTAAAGGTGAAGACGGCTGCCTCAAGTTTGTAATGTACACATGCGCGGAGAAGGTAGAGTGGGCCTCACCGCAATTGAGGCAGCGAGCCCAGGGAGAAGTGCACTCCGACTTAGAGTGACCTTCGCCCCAACTCAAGGGACAGAGAGAGACAGTACTGGAGCATCGGAAGGCACCATGCCCAAACCTCCATTATTTATTATAGAGCCAAGGAGAGGGAATGTACCCCTGAACAGAGCACCTGGCATCAACAAGAATGGCAGAGGGTGGAAGGGTCAAAGATAATCAAAGGTAATCTTCACAACCCGAAGGAGCTGACGGCGACGACCAATCCTGTAGATTCCTAACACCTGTTGCAACATGGGGTGGGAGGAGGACAGTACTAACACTGGCATTCAACCGTGTGTACTTGGAGACCCGAACAGGGGTTTCGCTAAGGCTGGATAAGGCGGCCAAGTGGATGGCTGCATCCTGAGAAGGAGCAGCAACGACACATGTACCGAGACGGGTGGGGTTAAAAGTAACAGAGGCATCTACTGAATCAACAAGGTGCCTATGGAGCGAGAAATCGTCAGGAGGTGTAGAATCCAGAGGGAGGAAATCAAAGTATTTGGCCCATGAAGCAGGACCAAACAAGGCTTGGTACACATTAGTACGGGAAGGGATCGAGCGAGTGCAGCCGTGGTGTGGACGGTGTTGAGAACACCCCAGAGAGAGGGATTAAAAGGCACAGTAGCCACAATGCCATGCCAGGGAACGATGTGGTCACCACTGGGGGCTTGTGGCTCGACCCAATCACAGAGGAGAGAGGGGAGCCAAAGGGAGTAGTCAGGAGGGTCAAAGGAGGAGCAAGGTCCAATGCAGCGGGGGCTACAGAGTCCGGTCCTTTAACGCAATCTGACTCGGGGGCTTGGTCACCCACCCAAAAGCCCGAAAAAGTACAAGAGGAATATAATTTGACAAAGTCGAGAGGAAAGACTTTCATTCACGAATGTGCCCCCACACCCACCATGGAGCCACAATTAGAGGATAGGACACCCAACAAGAGACATGTTGCCGATATTGCCAGGGGCCCCCCAGGGGTGTGTCGTGAGTAAACGCCACCTGAAGAACCGTCAGTCCATCAAGATCGGGTTCAGTAACGAAAGGAGGAGTAGCCACAATGAGAGACTGAGCTGTGCCAGGGGACAAGGTGGTCACCACTGGGGGCTTGAAGCTCGACCCAACCACAGAGGAGAAAGGGGAGCCGGGGGCAGTAGCCAGGAGGGGTCAAAAGAGGAGCAAGGTCGGGGCCCAATGCAGCGGGGGCTACAGAGCCCGGTCTTCCAACACAATCTGACTCTGGGGCTTGGGCTTGAGCCCGTGAAGGTACAAGAGGAACAGAATTTCACATAAAGACGAGAGGAAAAACTTACATTCACGAATGTGCCCACACCCACCACAGAGCCACAATTAGAGGATAGGACATCCAACAAGAGACATGTTGCCGATCTTGCCGGGGCCCTTCCCCGGGGTGCGTCGTGAGTATATGCCCCACAAACGCCACCTGACGAACCGTCAGTTCGTCAAGATCGGGTTCAGTAACGAAAGGAGGTTGAAAATAAAAGCGTCCCCTTCGCTCGCGACATTGAGTACCACAGTTCTAACGGTGCAAAGAGTATGCCTCTTCAAACACCTAGGGCGTCAAAACAAAAGAAGGCCGATAGAATAATCAAAACAGGCAAAAGGTTGGTGGGAAATGACAATCAGAAAGGAGAAGATTGAGAAGGGGAGAAAAACGAAACATAAGGAAAAGTCGTCTGGCTGAATTCGATAGGACAGCAGCAGGAGCATAAGGCCACAAAAGGACAAAGGACTGTTCCATGGAGCATCACACTCCGGCAGCCGCCCACCAAGCCCCCTCTTGGCAGCAACGGGCTGGACAGGGAGGGGGCTACAAATTTAAATAATCGCCAACAGAACCTAAACACCTTACCTAACCTATGCCTATATATATGTACAATATGCGAATATATTATTATATTAATTTATATATGAAAAAATTCCCATTTTGAATGAGCAGCATGTAAAAATTTACGAATGCGTCTGTGGGGTCGACCCCGCTGGATGTAATGGACTTGAGTCGAAGACAGGTTGCAAGGTTTGTGCCAAAAGGACCCTTAATACAGTAATTGCGGTATTGAGAGAGTGAAGGTACTTGGGAAAAAGGTTAATTGAAAGCCGAATGTATAACAAAAATGAAAGTTTATTTACAAAAATAGTTTAATAATAGTATCCAACTGCTATACTAATTATGCAAAGATCATTACTTATTTAATATTTTCAGATGATGCAAGCACGTTTCCGTAAGGTTTTGGCCATAATGACGGACAAAATTGATTGTCCAGAGGAGGGCAGTGTTATGTGCTCATCTCGAGCCTGTGTCCACTCAGACTTTGGTCAACGAGGTATTATATCAAAACTTACAGAGGTGAGTGACAAATTATCTTTAATGATGTTGAGAAGCTGATGTAGATAGGCCATAGATCCATGAACCATGTATTGGTAGAAAGGTGCAGCAATTGGCGTTAATGAACCCTTACTTCAGATGGAGGTAGTAAGCCACTATTTGTAACATTATTTGACCCTTAGGACAGGTGTTATCTTATCTTGAGTTATCTTGAGATGATTTCGGGGTTTAGTGTCCCTGCGGCCCTGTCCTAGACCAGGCCTACTTTTTGTTACACACCCCCAGGAAGCAGCCCGTAGCAGCTGTCTAACTCCTAGGTACCTATTTACTGCTAGGTAACAGGGGCATCAAGGTGAAAGAAACTTTTTGCCCATTTGTCTCTGCTTCCACCGGGCATCGAACCCGGAACCTCAGAACTACGAATCCGAAGCGCTGTGCACTCACCTGTCAGGCGCCCAACTGCTGCATGGTGTTGTATGCATTCTAAATCTTTACACTGTTATTGACCAATATTCAACATTTTGTATGGATGTACCTATGGTCTGGCCGATAGTGAAACTTTACACACACACACACACACACACAGGGGAGACGGTAAGGGAGACACAGGACTAGTGAGGTCCGCGGAAATTCGTAAATTTCTCAGGACATTAAAGGAGTATAGAGGCTAGATCATAGTATTTGGCCTCTCGCGGTGTGTAGCTAGCAGGGTGCAACATAGCATAGTCATATCGCTGGCGATAGTGCGAAGATTTGGCGAAGAAACCAAAGTGGAGCTAGTGGCATCACCAGTGCATGTAAGTGTGTGACCTGACCGGGTGGGACGCCCCGCCGTGGAACTACCTGATTGTGCTGTTGAGTGATGACTGTGATCAGTGGTACAGTGAGTTAGTGAACTGTCACACAACGATACAGTGACTGACTCCAGAGCTTTGTGTAGACAGAGAAGAACCGACCTCATCAATCTACCAGCACTTAGTGAATCACCTAGTGGGAGACAACGACAGATAACCATCGTCATCATACATCGTCCTTACTCATCTGGTTGTGTGAGCGGGAGGAGACTGGTATGTACCCCCTCTCTGGTCAATTAATCAGGTGTACAGATTGAGGTAAAATATTATCAAATTCTTGTTCAGGATATCATATGTATTTATAAATCTCAGGGTGGCTCATTTAGGCAGAGGTAACGCATAAGGGATATCTTGACACATACACGCACGCCCGCCCATGTACATATACACGCACACAAGTGTGCGCACGCTAAAACAGACACACACACACGCACACAATCGTTCAGTCAGGGGAAAAGGCATTAACACCTGGGATCAGGACCTTACTATCCCCCCCCCCCCCCTTGACCCCCCCCCCTTCGCATCTCTGACCTGACCTGACTGGTCGCCATCTCTGCCCCCCCCACCCCCAGGTCCCCGCATCGCCCATACACACACTCTCTACCCTTCCCCACTCTCTCCCCCTCCCAATCTCTTTTTATCACTCACTCTCTCTCTCTCTCCTCTCTCTCTCTCTCTCTCTCTCTCTCTCTCTCTCTCTCTCTCTCTCTCTCTCTCTCCTCTCTCTCTCTCTCTCTCTCTCTCTCTCTCTCTCTCTCTCTCTCTCTCCTCTCTCTCTCTCTCTCTCTCTCTCTCTCTCTCTCTCTCTCTCTCTCTCTCTCTCTCTCTCTCTCTCTCTTCTCTCTCTCTCTCTCTCTCTCTCTCTCTCTCTCTCTCTCTCTCTCTCTCTATCTCTCTCTCTATCTCTATCTCTATCTCTATCTCTATCTCTATCACTATCTCTATCACTATCTCTATCACTATCTCTATCACTATCTCTATCACTATCTCTATCACTCTCTCTATCACTATCTCTATCACTATCTCTATCACTATCCATCTCTCTCTCTCTCTATCACTATCTCTCTCTCTCTCTCTCTATCCTCTCTCTCTCTCTCTATCCCTATCCTCTCTCTCTCTCTATCTCCCCCTCTCTCTCTCTCTCACTCTCTCTCGGATCTCTCTCTCTCTCTCTCTCTCTCTCTCTCTCTCTCTCTCTCTCTCTCTCTCTCTCTCTCTCTCTCTCTCTCTCTCTCTCTCTCTCTCTCTCCCTCTCTCTCTCCTCTCCCTCTCCCTCTCTCTCCTCTCTTCCTCTCTTTTCCTTCCCCCTCCCTCTCGCCCACACACACACACACAAACACACACACACACACACACACACACACACACACACACACACACACAACACACACACACACACACACACATACACACACACATACACACACACACACCTCCCCCCTTCTCTCCCTCACCCGCTCTCTCCCTCTCCATCTCTCTCCCTCTCCATCTCTCTCCCTCTCCATCTCACTCCCTCTCCATCTCTCTCCCTCTCCATCTCTCTCCCTCTCCTCTCTCTCCCTCTCTCCCTCCCGCCTCTCTCTCCATCTCCTCCCCCCCTCCTCTTCTACTTTTCTCTCACTTCAGTGGAAGGGTCGGATCCCCCCCACCCACCCATTTATCTCTCCCTTTATCACTCCCTTTCTCTCTCTCTTTTTCTCTCTCTCTTCCTCTATCTCTCTCTCTCCCTCCCCCATCCCGCTCTGCCCTCCTGACAAATCCTATCACGGCGCAACTATAGGAACAGGGTCAAGCATGGCAGCCAGAGGTACTAGGGGAACAGGGAAGAGCCAAGGTGACGAAATGAAGGAAATGTTTGCCCAGTTTCTGGAGGACATCAAGAGTGAGATGCAAGAAATGATGTAGGAAATGAAGAACAAAATAAGCAACCTGAAAAGAGAGCTGACAGCAGCAAAGGAGGAAATTAGAGCCCTCAAAGAGAATGGTATCGAGGCTGAGAATCAGAAAACCATCCAGGGAGAAGGTGGTAATAGTTTTTTGGATGAGAATGCCACAATAAAAGCAACATTTGCACAAAATACTAAAAAAAATAACTCTGAAGTAATGACTGCAGTGATGGAGGTAGCCATGAAAGCAGCCACCTCACAGGAGGCGGCACGCTCCACTAGCCAACTGCTGGAAAGGAACAGATCAGTGGTTGCTGTGGGTATTAAAGAGCAGGAAGGCTCTAATAGGACAGAGTGGAATGACAAGGACAAAGCAGCAGTGAATGAAGTACTAAAGGCACTAGACATGGAAGGGGCTGAGCATAGCATTGAGAAGGTTTTCAGGCTAGGCTGGTACAACAAAGACCGAGACCGAATGATAAAGATAGTGTTTGCAAACAAGAGCACAAAGGAGAAGATCCTATCAAGGAAGAGCTCCCTGAAAAACGTGGGAAAATTCAAACATGTATTCCTCCAGAGAGACATGAAAAGGGAGGAGAGAGCCGTGGCGGCAGAAGCAAGGAAGAGGCGCAGGGCAAGAGGGGAACAGCTCTCACAACACAGAGCTCTACACAACACCCCCAGAGGCGAGGGGGGAACCCACAACCAGCTACCCAGCAACACCAGAAGGGAGGACAACCCCACCTCCCTCCTCTGCATAGAAAACCCCCTACCCCAAACCCTCCCTGCCCCCCACTCAAATGTTCAGCCAAATCTCCCTCCCCCCACACCCAATCCCCACCCTTCTACCCCTCCCCTCCTCCCGAGTCCTCCCTCCCCCCCCTTTCCTTCCCGTCCTCCCTCCCCTTTTACCCCATACCCTCCCTGTCCCTCCCCCTTCACTGGATCCCCCGCCCCTCATCCCAGTATCCTCTGAGACCCTGTTATCCACCTCACAGGTCCTCACACCCATGGAACAGCTTCCCCCACCAGCAGAACACTCACCAAGGAGGCGATTTGAGAAGGGACAGAAGAAAGTGAGCCTCAAAGCGATGTACACTAACATAGATGGAATTAAAAATAAAGCAAATGAGCTTGGAGAACTGGTACTAGAAGAAAACCCAGACATAATAGCCCTCACAGAAACAAAGATCACGAAAACGATAACAAACGCAGTGTTCCCACAGGACTATTATGTTAGGAGGAAAGAGAGGGAAGGAAGAGGTGGGGGTGGTGTAGCTCTGCTGGTAAGAAAAGGCTGGGATTTTGAGGAGATGGATATTCAGGGCTGTGAAGGTTTCAGTGACAACATAGCAGGTACCATAACAAATGGAGGGAAAAAATTATAGTCGTAGTCATATATAATCCACCACCAAATGACAGAAGACCTAGACAGGAATATGATAGAAACAACATGGCCATCATTAACATAATAGAAAGAGCAGCTTCTGTTGCTAGCAGGAATGGATCTGGACTACTAATTATGGGAGACTTCAACCATGGGAAGATAGATTGGAAGAACAGAGACCCGCATGGAGGACCAGAAACATGGAGAGCTAAGCTGCTGGACGTGGCAACAAGAAACTTTCTAAGCCAGCACATCAAAGAACCAACAAGAATGAGAGGAGAAGATGAACCAGCAATGCTTGATTTGATATTTACCCTAAATGAGTGGGATATAAGGGAAGTTAAGATGGAAGCGCCCTTGGGAATGAGTGACCACAGTGTATTGAACTTTGAGTACCTGGTAGAGCTAGGACTTATCTCCCCCCAAAAAAGAACTAGGAATCAAAAGGCTGGCATATCGAAAGTCGAATTATGAACAGATGAGAAGTATCCTAAGTGAAATACCTTGGGACACAGACCTCAGAGATAAGTCTGTACAGGGTATGATGGACTATGTTACCCAAAAGTGTCAAGAGGCAGTAAACAGGTTCATCCCGGCCCAAAGGGAAAAATCCGAGAAGCAACAGAAGAATCCATGGTATAATAGGGCATGTATGGAAGCGAAGAAACTGAACAAAAGGGCGTGGAGGAACTTACGGAATAACAGAACACCAGAAAGCAGAGAGAGATACCAGAGAACCAGGAATGAGTACGTCAGGGTGAGAGGAGAAGCAGAGAAAAGTTTTGAAAATGATATAGCAAACAAAGCCAAGACCGAACCAAAGCTACTCCACAGTCACATCAAAAGCAAAACAACAGTGAAAGAACAGGTATTGAAACATCGAACAGGCGAGGA